ATTGCAAGCGAGCCCTGATGAACTATATAAGTAAGTCACATATCCACAGGGAGCTAAATAAAGAGAGACACGCATCGCACTTCTTGAACACTGTTCGCAGCAGGCGGCATCATTTGATATATATATATAAACATATATATATATATGTATATCTCTGTGTTTCAGGAGAATATTTTTGGTGACATTTATGTGCCGCTGACGGCCAATGGCGGTAGCGACAGCAGAGAGCTCTAATTAAATTTAATAGCTACGCAACGGCATAAAATTGTGCCAAGCCACCAACGAGGCAGGCCGAGAGGCCGACCGACCGCGCGACCGAGCGTGGCGCTGCAGCCAGCAGTCGGCAAAAGATGTCAAGATTGGGGTCGTAAACACATTTGATTTGATTTCTGGAAAGGATTCAGTCATTTCACGTCGGCTGCTTTGGCGGACGCGTTGATTGAATTGTCACCTCCAATTTAATGGCCAGAGCCAGAGGGCAGAGCAGAACGGGCCAGATCGCGTCAGTATTTCAACAAGTTCTATTCATTTTTGATGTTGTTTTGCTGTAGTTCTATGTATTCGGATTTAGCAGCGACTTGGTAGAGAGAGGCGCCACTGCTGACGCAGCTGACATTTGCTTTGGGTTAAATTTTTATTATAATACTGGCTGACTATGTCTTTGGCAAAAGGTGTCAGACGTTTTATTGCTGTTCTTTGACGACCTGCTGAAAAGTTCACGGTCATTTCTACAATTTCACCTCTGAGTTTTGAGCGCTCTGGCCCCAGAGGCACTGAGAGGGCAGGAGTTAGTTGGGGTATACGAGTATCATTCATCAAAAGACAGCCCGCTTTCAATTACTTTCACCTATGGCTTGCCCCAACTACAAGCGGAAAAGTGGGTCTAAGTGAAACAGGTAGCTAGATCTTAACATCAAAGATTAAATGCCGGCATAGATACATAACTAGCTCTTTTTTCGACAGTTATCTAAATACCCTGCAATACAGAAGTATTTTATAGCCAACCAAAGGAAAATATGTTGCAGTTCGGATGGTTCTTGGGTTAAATTCTTAAAAATAAATTTCGATTCCGCTCTTCAAAGAACTCCTGCAGAGTAATAAAAAATTAAATATAAATAAGTATTATAACTATACTTAATCAATTTCTAGTTCAAAAGAACTGTTGTCTAAGCTTCCGCTATAAATTGCTATTGTAGACAAATATTGGGAGCTTTAATTAACACGAGGCAATCGAACATGTTTTATCTCAAGACAAAAAAATACTTTGAAATGCCAAAACATTTACTTATACATACATACGTATGCGTATGCTAATATACAGACATACATACATACAAGTATGTACTATGTAAATAGTGGATAGAGTTGAAGGTAAAACATCGACAACATTTGTGCCCAGTCATTGTTCATATGCAACAAAAATAATACAAAAAAAAATAAAAAATATTTTTTTTAATTTGAATAAGTAATTCGAACAACACACAGTCAAAATCAAAAAGGAAAAACAAAGTAAAAACAAGTCAAAACAAATGTGAAACAAGGAAAATTCAATTTACTCGCATGTCAAGCCGAATTGCCGGCTAGGTCAAACACGTTGATGGATGGATGGTTGGATGGCTGCATGGCTGCCTGAATGAAAGGGACGCACAACAACAGTAACAGCAACAGCAACAAGAGTAACTACAATGGCTACAAGCTGAAATGGCAAAACGTTGCATGCTCGACTATTGGGCGGTCCGCTTGCCCCCACCCAGCTGACCGAGCTGTGCCCCCAAAAACCGATGCGACGGCAAACAACAGTCAAAAACTCGCGTTTCATTCCACGTGCAGCACGTTGAGCATGCTTTCGACTATTCGTATTCGTATTTCTATTCGTAATTGAGTGCAGGTGTGTGTTCATAGTTGGATTCATTATATTTACATATGATTGCATTGAAAAATAATAGAAGACTATTGTAGAGCAGGCTAGACTAGATGCTAACCTGGTTTAGACAGAAACTGTGTGTTTATATTTAAATTTTTTGGTTGGGTTTTTGAAAAAGGATTTATTCTAAAATTGTATATAGCTGCAGAGGTTCTACAGTTAAAATTTTATGCTAATAGCTTCTATATTGCTCGAGATACGCTTAAAAATCTCTTCGATATTTATCGATAGTTATATAAAAGTTCATAAACTGTGTCTGTGCATGGTTTCTGCATATAAATATAACATACTTATCGCTTCTGTTTTGTCTCTTGGCCTCTTAGACCCTTTCTTGACCACTTTCAATAGTTACAGGGTATACAAATATAAATTGCTAAAGTAACACACCGCCACTCACCCATGGACATTCGGAAGCTAAAGTTTTTAATTAATACAAAACTTGTTACACTTTATAAGCGCCTACTATTAGCATAGCCAGACATAGATGTGCATACATATGCATAAATGTAGATATAGAGGATGACATGTGGCCACATGATGCCAGTCGCACGTGTGCCGAGCAACGTTATATGGGGAAAAAGGCAGGCCTAGAGCGTAACTGAATTGGAAAAGAGTCTGAGCTTTGTTTTTGGCAGCTGCTGATTGCAGAAATTTAATTAAACTAGAAGTGTAAACAACTATTAACTGCAGAGAGCAAACAAATCGAATAACTAAAGGGAATAGCTGGATAGATAGATAATGAGAAGAGTTATAAAAGAGTTATAGATGAGGTTTAGTTGTGGCTATATAGGATTTGCTGTCTTTCATTGAAATGCTATATAAAGTTACACTTTTCCATAACTAAGCTGAAACTCTTAATCAAAAGTAAACAAATCGATAAACTAAAGAGAATAGTTAGAAATATATTATATGATAAATATTAAACTAGTTATAGATAAGGTTTACTTGTGGTTCAATCAGTTTTTTAAATATGCTGAAACTTCTTAATCACAAGTAAACAAATCTTAAATATGTATGCATATAGTGCTATAAAATTGACAGAGATCGTGCGTGCGTGCTGGCAACGAGTTGAGACATTAGGTTAAGTGACAATCATGTCTCTGATTTATTGCTATTTCCGTCTCATTGCGATTTCAGTGATTCGGGGAATTGCAAGCGCCGCTAATGAGCTGCCTGCCATTCGTTCACACTTGCACTCGAAGGCGGAGGCTGGCCGAGAGAAACAGAGAGAGAGAGATGCGGTCTCATATTAATTGATTGCACTTATGGCATTCAAGATTTGCATATATATAAAGTGCGGAATCCATTATTTCCGGGAACATTGCATTTGTACGGCAATTAGTTCGCATAAGTTAAGGCCTGCTCATTCGACTTCGAGTTGGTATCGCTCGGGAGTGCGACCCATGTTTGCTTGCGGCTGGCATAAATCATCTTCATGGAAATATCGTGTAGGGCAGCAGCAGCCAGAGCTGCCACACATAAAAATATGTATGTGTATAACTGTGGGACCGAAAATGTTCTCTAATTGAGAGACACCGCAGCAGGCAGCAGTCCCCAAAGATCGCCTCCTTTTAGCAAATATTTTCGGTTTGTTTTCGTTTTTTTTTGGGGGGAAAATGTTCTCGTAGAGTTTCCCAGCCCACCCGCACGACCCTGTCGAATATTTCTGTATTTCGAGTCTGTCATAAATATTAGGAAAAAAACGTAGTTTAATAAATTGTTGAGCAACCTAATTTATGACCATTTAATATGACATTTATCTACAACAATAACTTAGCGCAAAATTGTTCCGTCTGCGCGGCGACAGAAATAATTCTATTTCTTAACTCGATTTTTAATCACTTGTGACAGTTGTGTGCGCCTTTGATATCTCGCCACAGACTACTACCGGCCACTAGCTATATCATTTGATTAAACATGTGTTTATAGCTGTTCTATTACCGGTGACAATTGCGGGGCTTGTAAAAAGCATTGCTTAAAATCGCTCTGACGAGAGCGAGTACAAATACAAACACGTGTTCTGTCAAACGCTTGTATACAATTGTCTGTCCAAAATGGAAATTACATGTACCAGAACATACACTCACACACATGCATACGGGTTGGTGTCTGTGTGTGTGTGTGTGTTTGGTCCATCCTAGTGGGTCAAGTTTTGGCTGCATTTGCCGCCTGCCTCGCCTAATGGCAATTGTCGCAACTTGTTCTGAGGCCCACGCTCTCGCTCGGAAAAATTGTTTCCTCAGCTAACGCCCACTTTTTCTGTTTGTATTACTTTTTTTTTCTATAGAGAAACATGCACTACAAGTGCTAAAAATTTTGAAAAACATATTTCACAATTAATTGTCAGCGGCAGCAACTGGGGCTGGCAATGCTTTATTTTTCCTTTTTGTTGTTTTTTGTGCCACGTACCGCCGCCGTCATTATATATATATATATATATCTCTCTCGCATTTTTAAATGTTGTTCGACATGGCAAAAACAACGCGTTGCTGCTTAATTTGTCGTAATTAATGCTTATGAATAGTTTGTACTTGTCTTTATTTGTTCGAGCCAATGATTGCGCCTGCCTCATGCATTGTGTTTGCTTCACTCTTTTCTCTTCTTCTTCCTTTTGGCTAATCTCAGCTAACAGATCGTAGCACATAAATATGTGGCCTACTGTAAAAGACGCTAGAGTTGGCTAGAAACCCAAATTTAAATGCAATATTAAGCAAAAATTCATTTAAAGTTGTTTTACAACAAATAAGCGAGCCACAATCTTGAGATTCCCGTATATGAATTGAATTTTAAATGAATTTATTGTATATGAATTAGTTGAGCTAACGAAAAAATTTATAAATTAATTGTTTACTATTCGTAAGCATCTCAATTTATTTGAAAATAAATAGGCAAATAAATTTTATTATAGGTCTATCTGAGTAGAAGTAGAAGAAAAATTGTTCTTTTATTTTTACAACATTTAAAGTCTTTGAACTGACAAAAATAGGCTCTCAAACAGAACTCTAAGCTTTAAAGTTTTATACTAAAATAATATATATATAAATATAATATAAAGAATTTAAAAATTTAAACTCACTTGTAGCTTAACAAGTTCTGGATAATCATTAGCCAGCTTAGCGAGCTCTTGATAATTGACTTTGGCCATTGAGACAATCCATTCCTTGGCTTTCGAGTGCGACATGGTAACATCGGGTGAATCCTTTTCCTCAATTAACTGCGGAAAGACATAAAAACGGGTTACCAAGGCGCATAAATTAATTATGCATGTTTCTGTCACAACATTTTACAAAACTCAGAGCTGCCCAGGGCGTGGGGCGGGGCGCTAAAAACAAAAATTATATCTATATATATATATATGTGTTATATGTGAAACGGGCATAAAACATAGAAAGCCCATTGAAAGCATTAACGCCAACACACAATCACATCTTAGAACACAACACACACCCACATACGCACACACGCGCACACACTCAAGGCAATCGTTGTAGCATCCGCATGGATTCTGGGCGAGATTTAGATTGGGATTCTACCCTGCCCCCTCCCCCTACCTCTCTCTCTTTCTGTGCGAGTGTAAAAAGCTGGCATAATTATGCGCACACATTCGACGACGACGGCATGTTCTTTCCATAATTATGAAGGTAATAATTTTTATTTATTAGGCGCGTGCTTTAGGCATTTGCTGCGCCGGGTTTTCTTTAGCGATGCGCTAAATGAAATAGAGCTCCAAAAAGTTCTTGTTCGCCTGCCTCTCGCTCCATTTTTTTCTCGTGTTTTTTCCTGTGTGCCGCGGGTATGGGTAGCTGTTTAACCATCACGCATTCCCATTGATAATGAGCACTCTAATGAGCGAGGGGCGCAGGCACACATGTGCCACAACAACAACAACAACAACAACGACAATAGCTGGCAACATGTGTGTTTGCCTCTCATATTTACGAGCGCTGAAAACATTTTCGGCAACTAATTATCCATTCGCATAATGTTTCGCGTTTGCTAACAAGGCTGCAAAAGAGTCAGGCATTTGTTTACCTGTAACTCTCGCCGTGCCACACCCCCGCTAAACAGCAACAGCAAAAAGGAGAAGCGAAAAAAAAACAAGAAGTACTCGCTTCGTTACGTTATGTTACACATAGCTAATAAATGCGGCAAACACATGGCTGGGGCATTTAGCCGCAGGATGCAGTAGTAGCAGCAGCAGCAGCAGCAGCAGCCGTAACTCCTTTCATATATTTACACGCCACTTGACTTTGGGAGTGCTCACGTTTTTCCAATTACTCGCCGCCGTGCTTAAATCCCGTTAACCACCCGCTTCAGGTGGCGCCATTTGCAAATGCCGCATGCCGCATGCCGCATGCCACACGCCGCATTGCCGTTAGACGCTTGCCGAATAGCCGACAAGGTGAGCGAGAGAGCAAATGAAACTGAAACAGAAGCAGCTACAGCTACATAACAGGACAAACATTGCCAAGTAAGGCCCCGGGCAAAGTGGCCATGTCAATGCTAAACAAAAGAACCGTAACGCCCCCAAGTAGCCACCCGCAAAAAGCGAAAAAAACGTCGTGCACCCGACGACTGCTGCGACTCGTCGTTGGCTACTGCCACCTCCCAGCTCAAGTTGGGGGCTCTTCTCCCCAATCGCTTGTTTGTTGGCTGGCTTTCTTATGTCCTGTGTGTGTCCCTTTATGCAAGATATTATATCACACTGCTGGCCGTTGTCCGGCTGCAGATCAGACCAAACCACACCAGACCAGCAGACCAGAGCAGACCGGAGCAGACTGTAGCATGTCCTCGTTCGCTGTGTTTGCGTTTGCCACCCGAAACTTACCTTTGACTCCCTTTTCAAAAAAAAAGGAGCACACACAAAAAAACCGGAATGAAGCCACAAAATGGTCATGTTTGCCGTATTCCGTATTGCCGTTTTGCCGCACGCCTTCCACCCGTAGTCACTCGCAGTCCGCTGTGCCATTGTCCGCTTCGATCTGGTCGACATTGTTGCTGTTTGTAAATTTAACCGCTTCGGGACATACGGCGTTGTTGTTTAACAGCAATAACAACTTTTGGTTTGTTTCCTTACATTTTTAATTGGGTCCTTTGTGGTCGGTCGGTCGCTCGGTCGCTACGTCGCTACGTCGCCTGCCTGCCTGATGACTATAGCTTTGCCTAACTAATTTCTATTGCTGCTTATTGGCTATGTTAACATGTTTCACCAACTTGTTTCTATCCGAAAAAGGGTTTTCTCTATCTCCTCTTTCACACTCGCTCTCTGGCAGGACCAAGCTCTCATTCGGGCTTAATATGCATATTGGGACACGGACTTTGGCCACCAAAGTACCTTGTGGGTTAATAAAAATATATGTGGTTTGTTTGATGCTGCAGTTGGAGCTTCATTTCAATGCCTTTTAAGCTAAGCACAAATAAGGGTTAGGGTTTGAGTTGGGGGTTTAATTTTAGTGTTAGGCAAACACTATGCTCTGCAAATGTTTAGTGTTGGGCGGGCTATATATACCTCATATTAAAATTCAGCTAATGCTGCCTTTATGCTTCACAGAATTGTTTGCAAAGCTTGGGATATTAGTGAAGACTCTAAAATGGGAAGTTGAAAGGAAAAACCTCCCATTTCAAAAGGATTTAATGAACTATCTAACTCATAGAGGTAGATGTAACCAATTTCAGCTAGAGACGCTAGATCTTTGATAGTAAAATATAAAAAGCTTGACTCTTACTTACTTAAGAATGGAGATCTCGAGAGATGGGATTAAAGAATCTGAGATAAGTTTTGGTTGTTGCAAAAGACATCGCTCCAGCTACAGATCTCTATTCTAAGATACTAAAACACTTAGATTAGTTTTCCTTTTAGTAGAAAGATTTCAGCAAAGAATTATGAGTATTATTCTTCAAGTAAAAAGTCTAGAGAAAAAATATTGCCTTTGTTATTAACTCGACTTATAAAGGCAAAAGTAAAAGACAAATACATTTGAAATATATTCCAGCTCAACGATAGCTAAGCAATTTAAATAGTTGTATGCGTCGAGGCTACAGTGGGTGCTGACTAAATGCGCCAACTCATGAAGCTAATTAAAAAGACTCGAAACGAATTTAATTGATCAGCTCGCAGGCAGATTCAGCCCGCAGCGCTTACGGTTGCGGCGCCTAAATTTCACGGTCTATAATATTGATGGATCTATGAAACAAGAAGAAGCAGAACGGGCAGAAGCCGAAGCAGAAGGGGCAGAATTCCATTTCGAAACTCTTTCATGAATGATTTGGCACTTTTTCCACAATTTCTGAGATGATTAATAATTTTTGTTTTAAGCATAATTCATCAAGGGTTTCATATACATTGCGTTTCTGATAGATAAAGATTGCTGGCGCCGTCGATCAAATTTGTTATTTATTTACTTTTTTCTTCGTTGTTTTTTTGTAATTTTGAATGCTGATTTGGCTTGTTAGCGCACAGATTTGTTAACAATTTTTACAGGTTCAACAGCTTCGACAATGATGAGCACGAACAGTTTATGAAACTGTTTGCATATCAGATACTGATCCTAGATAACTTTCGAATGATTTGTAATTAGATATCTAACGATGTTTGGCAAATAAATGAATGGGAATATCTGCAGGACTGAAAATACCCTAGCAAAAGAATAGCAGGAAATTGATTCCAATTAATGATTCGAAAAGAATTCATTGCGTATTGTGTGATTGACTGCAAATACCCCATGTGAAAACATATTACCACTAAATATGTGGCTGGCAGATGAATATCCGACTGAAAATACCGTGCCTGTGGCGTTAGTTGCCAAAGCTTAATCATCGATAAGTGTTTGCTTATTTGTAATAAATATATATATATAAACATATATTACTTATCTAACTATATTTATCATAGAGTGCATAAATACTTGCTCGACGACAAATACCCTGCCTGAAATCATATTTTGTATAACAGCTAAAAGAGGAAATATTTTTGGCTGCATGTAAATCGTTCAACATTAATCCGGAAACATGAAAAACGTGAGAAACCTAACATAAATGCTGAGAATCTTAGACGCTGTAAGACGTTTCGATATATGTAAACATTAATTTAACACACATAAGTGGATGCGAGTGTGTGTGTGTGTGTGTGCGAGTGTGTGCACAAATAAACACTTAAGTCTCTTTCGTTAGTCTTTTAGCCGAGTGTTGAGTTGAGTTTTTATAGCGCTTGACATGCAGTTGACAATTTGGAGTTCGCATTTGACATACATCTACTGCTGCGCCTGTCGCCCGGCTCGTTCTGGAATATTTGTGCGGGGTATACATAGACATATTCATCTTGGCCGGACGTAGTGGAATGATTTATGCAGTTGCCGTTGCCCAAACCCTAAACACTTTTGATTGACAGCCCTGAGTGGATGACAGTTGTTTGTCAATGCTCAGGCCCGAATGGTAATTGCCGTCGTCTTTAGCTCGCAACATTTGCTACGAAACGATTTTCTCGTAACGCTTGACAAATTTTAACATGTTGTCGCCTTTTATTGTCAGCGATATGTAATGGCCGATACACCAACTAAATATATATATTATATATAAAGTTTACTCAATGAATGTTCGAGGAGTATGCGCTGGATTGTTGTAAAAGTTGTGTTGCTGCAAAGCTAATTATATAACATAATAATATCAGGTACTTAGGCCAGGTGTGCCTACGAAAGGAGAGACTATGTATAAAAACGGTTCTATAAATATGTTTACTATATTGTCTGATCTGATTATTCTATATAGCTTAGTCCAGTTACAATGTTAAATTTCATTGACGTTTCTGTTTTCCAATAATTGTTGTCTTGGCCAGTGGCGGGCGCAATGGAAAACAATAACAAAAGTACATGCATCGCTGAAGACATGTACGCATGTCAAAGCATACGTGTGTTTAAATATATATATTTATCAGAGAAGAATGAGTGACGAACAGACATTGTAGCGGGCGCTTGTAATGTTTATGAATCTCACATTTTATTGTCCGAGAATAAACTTAATGGATATGTACAAGTCGAATGTGCTGGTAGTGCTCGTTCGTGACCAGCAGTTCCACTCGAGCTAAATTTAAGAAAGAGACATACAGAGAGAGAGGGAGAGATAGAGAGAGAGGGGGGAGAGCGCGAGTGGGATCTAAGTGCCCGCGTGTCAGGTAAAAACACCCTCATCTATGCGAACTAGTTCAGAGAATCTGTGTAGGCCAAGTCAAATATGTCCAATAAGAAAAGACAAATTTGTAATATGCAAAAAAAAAACTAAATACTTCCCACAGGAAGTAAGACAACGTCTAGTTGGAACTGCTCGCACCCGCACCCGCATGGCTTCATTGTTAACCGGTTTTTTGCTAAACATAATGAAGACATACCTTCTCTGGCTTTTTCTTGGGCGGCGGCGATATTATTTTTGCTTCTTCTTCGGACGCCATCCGGTTGAATTTGCGTGTCGCTTCCTTAACGCTGATGGGATTCTCAGCTGCGTCTACCTTGTCTGCACAGGAGCTATCGGTTGAAGCGCCCGATGAGAAGGAGAAACGTGGTATATTCTCCTTATTGCTGCCTTCGTCCACGGAATTGACACGGGATATAGACCTGGCATTGCCATTATTATCGGCATTGTCTTTAGCCTCGGCATTAACATTAGCCTCGGCATTGGTTTCGGAATCTTGTTCGTTCTTCTTGTCAATATCTGATTGGCGCACGAGACGTGCTGGGTCAATGCGTTGCATGGCAGCTGTGAATTCGTTAACGCACTCCCGATAACTTTCCACTTGATCCTGATGTACGGCCAAGCCGGTGTTCACTGGAGCACTTGGTTCCGGCTCTGGTGCTGGCGACTGCTGCACTTCAGGCGGCGCTATGTAGGGCGGCGGCTGCCTCATTGGCGAGATGCCGCTATCGGTTACGGACACAATGGAACCAGCTCCCGGGCTGGACGGCGTAGAGGCATTGCCCGCAGCTGCGATGGCTCGTTCCACAAACTCGTCGCTTGGACACTCATTGATATACTTTTTGCGTAGTATCAAATACTTTTGATTGTTTTCATTCTTGATTGTGGAGAGCAGCGTTACATAGGTTTTGAAACGCTTTCGTGCCTCGGCCTCATCTGAAATTGAGATTTCAGTAGCGCTTAGTTTACCTTTTCCATTGCATTACTTTATGATGTCAACAGGTTGTAGTCAAATAATCAGATACATATAAATTTGTCTCTGACTCACTTTGTGTGTGCGTTAGATATTTCTTGAAGTGCTTGACGAGTGCATGATTTGTCACCTTGCCGTCGTTTTGCAGCATATAATTTCGTATATCCACAATCGACAGTTGCTTTGCTGTCTCGTTTGCACTCATTTTTTACACAATTAACTGCTTATTGATCACCAATTATTGGATAGAAAAACAAAATATTTTGCACAAAAACTAAACAAACACAAAATTACCAGGGCTGCACACTAACAGACGCCAGCTGGCTGGGCTAGATTGAGTGTCAGCCCTGTTGCTTCGCGGAAAAAAGCTGATTGATATGAGCCAAGCAATTCAAATGGAAATTTATATTATTAGTTTCAAGATTATATGTAATATATATAATTGAAATCTAAAAGTATGCAAATTATTAAATTATAGGTATTATAGTAAATGTTAGAGGCTAAGCTGTAAATTAATGTTTGGCAAATATTTAGCCGAGTATCAAGATTCCTGTAAAGTTGTTAGTTTTTAAAATAAGAAAAACTTTATTAAAATAAATATTATTCATTATTATATTTCGTTTGCTTTTAATAAATTTTATTAAATTAAATTCAAGACTCAAAGTATAAGGATAAATAAATAAATTTTGAAAACCTAACATTTACTTAACAAAATTAAATTTAAAATAAAATTCCTGTTCTTTTTCAGCAATAAAATATATTTTATTTAATTTAATCAGGCAAAGGCACACAAATTGCTGAAAATTTCAAATTTGACCGCAACTGTCATTGTCGACGTGGAGACTGTCAAGGAAAGGAGATTAAGCATCCGAACAGTTTGTTCTGTGGGCGGCTTTTTGCCAAATCTGTGAATCGTAATTGTAATTGTACAATGGGGCTCTATCTGGATATGTGGGGAAAAGTGTTAATTTCATTTTCGATTTGGCAAATGCGATTGCGAAGGCAATTGTCGAAAGCCCGTCATTTATCATGTGCACATGCGAGAGTCGGAATCTCCTTCCCTCTCTCTCACTCACTCTTCTCTGTCTGTCTCTTTCTGTTCTTAAGTCGTCTGTGCACAATGTCTGTGGCTTCGATGTCGATGAGAGCGACGGCTACACAGATTGGGATTGTATCTTTCACTTACATTTCAAGTTTCAAATGTCAAGCTGACTTGCTGCTGCTGTTGTTGTTGCTGCTGCTGTTGTCTGACTGCGCCCACCCAGTGGCCCAATATATGTATGTACATGTGTACGTATATGCCTTGAGTCGACAAGCGCATATTCATTTGCATATTGCAATTACAAACTGTATAATTTCGTTGGAAAACCACAAAACTCGTACGTCTCCCACAAGACATTTGAAGACATCAAGTTAATTTGGCTTTTTGCGACTGGCTAAAAGTATATAAATTTAAGACACAGAAATGGTGGGCTGTAGACGAAGAGGTATACTCTATGTAAGCATCAAATCTATGATAAGAATCAAAGATTTAATAGGTCACAAACTTAGAGCTATGAGAATCGCAGAGAGGGGAGGAGTGAAGTATATGATATAAGGAGAGGGAGATAGACAAATATATAGAAATGGAAACTCAGATGGATTAGAAGAATGAAAGACTGGTAGAGAAAGGGAAAATAGAGAGAGAGAGAGAAAGAGAGAGAGGGACAGAGGGACTTGGCGGAAAACTAACAGGAGAGGGAAAGAGAAATCAGAGAGTAAGAGATAGAGAGCGGGAAAAAGGGAGAGGTAGAGATATAGAGAAAAGAGATAGAGAGCGAGAAAAAGGGAGAGGTAGAGATATAGAGAAAAAGACAGAGAGAAAGATAGAGCGACAGGGAGAACAGGAGGAAATATTGAAAGAAAGACTTAGATAGAGATGGAGAAGTAATAAGGGGAGACTGCCTTTCTCTCCTCTCATCTTTTCTCTTCTTCTCCTCTACTCTTTCTCTTTCTCTACCTTTCTATTTCTATTTGCCTTTCCTCTCTTTCCCTCTGTGGAGCTTTTGATCCATCTCTATTTTCCTCTTTGTGTTTCCTCTTTCTCTTCATAGAAATCTTAGAGTCGTAGCCAGTTAGAACTAGAAAGAGAGACTAAGTAAAAGAGCTGCAGAGGGGGTAAATGCATATTTATTTTGTGGGCATTTTCAATTAATTGGCTGGCCTAACAGTTAATGCAAAGTTGTAGTCCAAATCTATATAAGCGAGTGCCAAAAATCAAGTCTGAAATCTTAAAATTTTTGACACAGCCATGTTTACACTCACAGCTGTGTCTCTGCCTGTGTCTGTGTGTGTGTTAGCAATGGCACGATAGTTGGCATTCATTTGTAGTACGATTGAGCCATTGTCACCGATTGTCTTTGGGCCTGGCGCCTGATAAGCGCCGCAAATTAAATGAAATACTATATTATATAAGAAGAGAGAAAAAGGAATAGGCTCGAGGCGTTTTGTGCCACGATTCGCTGGAGAATTTGAACGTCTGGCCGCAGCCGAGGGAAAACTTTTTTTGGGGCCTCGAAGACTGGCGCGCAATGGAATCCGTCGTGAAGCTCCAAGCTGAAGCTGCTGCTGCTGCTGCCACCCCTCACATCCAGCCTCTGAGCGGCCTATGCCGAATGGCTGACAACGGCTACGATCGTCGATAGCTGGCAACGTTTGTCTTGTCATGGCGGGGTCTGCTTGCAGTATAATTGGCAATTGGGAATGGGGCTTATTCGCTTTTATGACTCTTTTTTCTCTCTGCTGGCGACTTAGACTGACTGCGTCTGTCTGCGGGCCTGTCTACAGACGGTGTCTATCTATTTCAGTCACATCGAAGTCGTGGCTGGCTAGTTGTTTGCCTGTTTCCTCTTTCCCACTTGAACTTCTTTTCTTTGCTGCCTTCGGCTGCCCGTTGACCCCCGGCGAGTGGCGCCTAAAGCTACATGCAAGCTGATCGACGTTGTTGCCGCTGCAGATCTGCAGAGCTGTCAGAAAAGTTTCCTCTTACACAAGTGTTTGAGATTTATTGTCGAATTGAAAACTCTCCACACACACTCGCTTGCCCACATTTTGTATTGTCAAACAGATGTCCAGTTTTCCACGCACTGCTTGTCTGTCCTTTTAAGTACCCACTCTCTGTCCCTCTCTTTCGGCTTGTGTCATTATCGAACCATTACCAAATGAGCAGCACGCATTATAAATGAGCACATAAAACATAAACGTTGTTCGCTGCTTTCGCTGAGCTCAAGAGCCGATTATTGCAATTTAACAACCCCACCCACCGCGCCGTTTCGCTCGCTCTCGCTCGCGCTCTCGCTCGCGCTCTCGCTCGCGCTCTCAGTGCCGCTCTGTCGCACTTGCAGCGGCTGTCATGCTCGTCTCTCTCCTACTCACACGTCAATGTCATCGTCATCGTCGCCGACGTCGTCGTCGTCATCTGTTGCTATTTCCGTTGCATTCCCTCCCCCTTCGTATGGCGGCTGCGGTCAAACGCTTTAACTCGCACCGGGATTTCGGCTCGTTTCGTTTGGCTTAGCTCAGCTCTCAGCTCCCAAGTGGGATTATGTCACTTTCCCTCTGACATTTGCATTTTGATTGACAAACTCATTTGGGCAATCCTCAACTGAGCAGCAGCTCAACATTATCCTCTCTGCCAGCGGAAAGGCACTCATTGTGTTTGCCTTAGCGCTTAAGAGTCCTTTCACAATTACATCGAAACACGCGTCTGCCAACTGCAAATACATTAAATGCTTTGCACTTGCTAACTGCATTAACATCTCGTGTTGTCAATTGAAATCGGAAAGGTCCCGATGATATGCCTATTAAGCTGTCAATTATAATGAGCTCCTTTGGAGTCGGCCCGCCTAAGATGAGCTATTTCAGCTACACGATTTGAGCTAGCAAATATGCTAGCATAGCTTAGCTTGTTTTTACAGTTTCTTGAGTGTTATAAACAGATTTTTATGAGCAAACAGTTCCCTTAGAGATTTGCTATTTCAATTTAATTCCAATTAAAGAGCATTCTTATAATGCTATTTTATTTTTTAGCATATCTTTGTAGCAAATTATGATCGAGCATTTCCTGACTATATATGTATTTGATTTCAGATTTATTTTATTTAGAAATAGTAGCTATAGCTGTACTAGAAATAGTAGTAGTAAAATAAATAGTCTTTGTATTAGTTTAGTAATTTAGTTTTCTTTGGCTTTGGAATATCATATTTAGAGCAAATGTTGCTGTCCACATGAATTAGGCGCATCAGAATTTTCCTGCACTATTTTTTTTATTAAAATAAAATTTGCTTAAGTTAAGAAACTATTCGTAATTTTATAATTTTGAATTTTATTTTATTATTTTTTTAAAAAAAGTGGCTTGATGACAGCCTTTATACCAGAGAAATTTCTAAATATTTTTAGATTAAAATCAAATATTATCGTTCATTAGATATCCTATCAACTCAGTGTATGCTATGATTTATATGATGTATAATAACAATTCGAATCTATCAGTCGAATCTCTCAAGTTTTTACTCAATAGAACATTTTTAAAAACAAAATAAAAAACCTAAATTTTTGTATAAAGAAACTTTTAGATTCATAGACTTTTGGGATGTTTTTTATATGTAAACATGTTAAATTTCCATATTTTATTTAATGTTCTAAATATATACCAGTCGAATAATTTTTGAGCAATTTTATTTTTATTTTTTTTTGTGTTTTATAATGGAAATCAATTATGTAACAGAGCGATATTTCCCTTTGACAATTTTTATGTATTCTGACATCCATTAAAGTCGGCAATGCTGACAATGACAACAACAACAACAACAACAACAACAACAACAACTGCAACAATGCCAAAAAACAATAGTGCGTGGCTCATCCTCACTGTCAAGCTGCTGCTGCTGCCACATTGAGTGCTGCTGCCACAGTTACTGCCGCAGCCACTGCCACTGCCACACAGCCCTCGTCTTCAGCTGGGCTGTCGTGTCAGATGCGAATGTTGTGACAGTTTTGTCGCATGACTTTGCGAGGCGAAAATAATAAAAATAAAAATAATTCATTTTTCATGGTGGCACTTTCTATGGGCATGGGTTCGAAATCGGGTTTGGGTTTCGGCTTGGGTTTGGGCTCGAATCATTGCCGTTACCATTTGGCAGCTATTTTGAAATTGATATATGCATAAACCGCAGTGACAGATGTTGCAATTAAAACAGCATAAAATGCGCGTTCCAGCTAATGGTCGAGAGAGAGAGAGAGTGAGAGAAGGAGAGGGAGAGGGATGCAGGTTAGGGG